ATACTTTAAAAAAAGGAAGAAAGAATACTCATGCCCCACCCCCATCAAACAAAACCAATATGATTCTAAGTAGTTCTCTGCTTGGATGTTTCAAAACCACACACAAGTAATCACATTCCTAATCTTCCACTTCAAAACTTAAAGTTTGGTTGAGTTGAGTTTTCGTTTCTGAATTAGAAATGTTTATGAAATGAACTTTGTTCATTTATGCTCAGTTCCTTTGTAACTGGTTTCTTATCACATTACATTTCCTGCCTGCAAAACATGACATGGCTCTTTAAAATAAATATCCAACAAGGAACAGACCGTGCAGAAAACATAAATGGCTCTTGTTTCTTGCAGGGATCCAGTTGACTAGCTGTCCAGCTGAGAATTTTATTTATAGGTTAAACCTAGTGTTCAATGCCTGAAGCATTTTATGGTAACCTTTGGCCACTCTAAGAATGGGCATCTGTGCTTTTGTGTGGCATTTGTGACAGAAAACTGGACACACATTCTATTTGCCATAGAAATGCTACAGAAAATGGCCTGTGATTGATTATTTTTTTGCCTACCATAACATTAGCAGCAGTTGACAGTATGAATTGTTGGGGATTGTATTGGGGATCTCCACCTGACTGTTTCATATCCTTAGCAACTACAGAGGATGCTACATAATAGTCCTGGACCATGATTCCACAGAAGGAACAGGGAGGAAATCTGTCATCATAGGTAGTTTACAATCCCAGCATCCTTGGGATTTATAGGAATATAGGTACATAGGAGAAACCATGCTGGATCAGACCAATAGTCCGTCCAGTAAGATTTCCTCCACCCAAGTGGCTCACAACTTGTACATGCAGGCATGCCTCTTCCGACAGTGGAGGTAGCACACCGAATGGTAGCCATTGACAGCTGCCTTCTTCATGAGTTGTCCAGCTCACTTTTATCTAAATTAGAGGCCCTTCCTACTTCCTGTGACAGTGAATTCCACAGTTTCACTATGCATTTTGTGAAGAAGTGTTTCCTTTTATCTGTTCTATGCCTTCCAATCACTTCGTGGTTTCAGTGTTATGGGAGAGGGGGACCTTTGTCCTAATTTGCCTAATTTGTGTCTCTCATTGCTCACCTTTCGTCCAAGCTAGTCGGTCACAGTTGTTGTAGCCACTCCTCACAGGGGACTTTGCTCCAGCCCCTTCCTCACTGCACTTATCTGCACTTTTCCCAATTCAGCAGTGTCCTTTTAAAGGTAAGACAACCAGAACTATACACAGTATTCTGAGTGCAGTTGCAGAATCTTGGCAGTTTTGTTTTTATTTCCTAGTTATGCCTAACATAGACTTAAGTGTTTCTCCAAATCTGAGGCTTGGGTGGGCGTAAATAAGGGTTGCAACATGTGGTGTGCAGATTCCCAAGCAGCTGAAGGCACGAAAGCAACTGATAGTCAGTTGCAAATGGTGGATTGCATATGTGTTTCTCATACGATTTGGCAGGGTTTAAAGGTAAGCCAAGGTAGGGTGGGAAAGTAACCCTCAGAAGTAAGAATGAGAACACTAGCCAAGATAATCTAGAATTGAACTGTTGGCTAGCCTACGGAAAGTGTTTCCTATTATCATTTCTTTCTGCTCAGAGTGGGACAAAGTGAAGCCTTTGCAAAATAGGCAGGTAAATACTGCTTAAAGTTGCTCCCATAGGCTGCATGGAAGGCTAAAGGAGCTGATCTGATGCAGGCAATGGTTTCTCCTGGACACTTGAATATGGGTATAACAGTCAGGGCATTAAACAAACCCATTTGCTGTGCCCCAATTCAAGATCTGTGCAATTAGATATTCCAGTAGCTACTTAGTGGGGGAGCAATTTCACTTGTTAATTAGAATAAAAAATGAAACTCTTGGGTATTGACTTGCTTGATCATGGCTAGGTTTGCTTATGTTGCTCTAGCTGGTTTTATAATATTTTTAAATATCTTTTGTTACCATATTTTAACATTTCTTTTGAAGTGGTATAAGCTGGCTGGGATTTTTATTTTTATTTTATTTTTTTTGCCAGAGCAGCTACAAATCACTGAGATAGACATATGATAGACAAATGCACATCTGTGCAAATACTAGATTGTGTCCAGTGATCTTTTTCTGCCACTAGGAAAAACCCAAGAGGGTACACATGGCATTCTTCTCCCTGCGGCCCCTTGATACAACCCCCCAAATTTTATTGGTGGAGTGGGGGACGCTCTGAAGCACCTTTGGACATGTGAGGAGGGCTGCAGAGGCAAGGAAGGAAAAGAAAGACCAGTGCAAGGATTGGGCCCATCCCAGTTGGGCCCATTATGATAAGATATCTGTGTGAATAGGTCAGTTGGATTTTGTCCATTCCAATGTAAATTCTCTTATGGAAGAGTTTTATCTTACCATAGAAGAACGAACATTCACACAAACAACAACCTACAATATGATATTCTACATTACTTTATTGAGTTAAGACAGCCACACTTTTGAGTTAAGACAGCCACATTTTTCCAAGAGGGTAAGACCTCAACCAAAGGTCTCAAATTAACAGAAAAGGGCATTTGACTAAACATTATGGAGACTTTGTTTTAGTACAAGCTTACCAACAATTGAGGACGCTGCACCAGAATGCACTAAACTTGATGCAGAGATGGCCACCAATTTGGAATGCTATGGCAATGGTTTTCTTGCATCTGCAGCAGGTTGAATGAAAGAATCTTTTAAAGGACCTTCCAAATAAAATTCTATGATCCCTGAAAAATCTCTTTTATTGCAGCCCTTGCCATGTCTGCTTGGCATAACACCTCCTCTTATCACTTTCCCTGATGCACCCAGAAGATGGGTCTTGCAACTGCTTACTCACTTGGTTCCCAAGTTTCCAGGGGCCAGTGCAAGGTAAAACAAGAGAGTAATGCACGGAAGTAAACATTCTGAAAAAGCTGTGCCCTGATAAAACACCCATGAGAGTCGATCAGGTATTATTGATTAATGTGCTGTGCAGTTGTGGAATATAAACTCTGAGGTTGGAGCTAAGGCACTCTGTTGGGAGTGTTATAAGATCATTGCAATGAATCGATTTCCACTTGTACTTAAAACCTGCAGTAGACTTATAGAATAGTCTGAAAGGACGAGTCTGGCCTGAAATTTTTCCATAAAAATTGTGCACAAAATGCCCTTTTCCTTTCTGTCTTTTGTACTGTACCCTATCTTGATGTCTTATAGCCAGGCTAAATTCCTGCCGTTCTGCCTTTACATGTGTGTGTCCATATTCTGTAACAATGGATATTCTTATAAGTGAAATCCATTAACTTGTTATATGTAACAAGAAGATTCATGATCTGAGCTTCAGAAGACTGTCAGGCGCTACTAGGAAACAAGGTGCTTTGTAACAAGTAACTCATCTCATGCTTTCTTTTTGATTTTCTCAGTCTAGCATACTTTCATAAATGAAGCAAAAAGTCATACTCTCTTAGTGAGAATTTGATCCTACTTTTGCAAAAGAAACCTGCCCAAACCAAAGCAAAACTTCCTAAAAAGTAATTTCTGTGCTAGCAAAATATGTGCCATCCTTTCCCAAAAATTCGCAGCAGAATCTCAACTGCTATGATGATGTGTATAAAAACATCCTGAAGTAGTGTCACTTCCAAGGACTGTAGGTGATTAAATTGGTGGGCAGTGTGTTGGTAGGTAATTAAATTAGTGGGCTGCCTGCTGGTAAAAATAGATCGGGATGTACCTGTGCAGGGGTAGACCCAGTATGCAGTATGGTGTGGTTTCTGCAGCTTCCCAAGCTGGTGGGGTTTGCTGAACATACACTGATGCCTTGCCCGAACATACATTGTAGGGACCTCTGACACAGGGCTGCAGTGTGCTTGGATCTTTCCAAAAGAAATTTCTGAAGCCCAGGAAAACCAGTGGAAAGTTATTGGTCATGTTTTGGCACAATTGCAACATTGTTCTAAGTCCAGTTCTCTATTTTCTCCATAGACATGATTGGAAAGTGTTCATGATATGAGAATAAATACAGGGATCATTTGGAGCAAGGAAGCAGTAGCTGGGGCAGGTTCTCACTTCTTTCTTAAATCTTTTCCCATTGCACCTGAATTTCAGGAAGCCCATTCCAGTGGCATCCCAACCAGAGGATTTTGTCAAATGGTAGAGCTGGCCTTTGGCAAATCTAGACAGCATACTAAAAAGCAGAGACATCACCCTGCCAACAAAAGTGCGTATAGTCTAGGCTATGGTTTTCCCAGTTGCAACATATGGCTTTGAAAGCTGGACCATAAGGAAGGCTTAGTGCCGAAGAATTTAGGCTTTTGAATTGTGGTGCTGGAGGAGACTCCTGAGAATCCCTTGCACTGCAAGGAAATCAAACCAGTCACTCCTAGAGGAGATCAACCCTGACTGCTCTTTAGAAGGCCAGATACTGAAGAGGAAACTCAAATACTTTGGCCACCTAATGAGGAGGAAGGACTCCCTGGAGAAGAGCCTAATGCTGGGAATGATTGACGGCAGAAGGAGAAGGGGATGGCAGAGGATGAGGTGGCTAGATGGAGTCCCTGAAGCAGTTGGTGTAAGCTTAAGTGGACTCCAGGGGACGGTGGAGGACAGGAAGGCCTGGAGGAATGTTGTCCATGGGGTCGTAATGGGTCGGGCATGACTTTGTGACTAACATAACATAACATAGAGCTGGCCTAAACAAGTTGTTGCCTACCTAGCTGAAATGGAGTACGCCATCCATTGACAACCTATCCGTTTTGGCAACCTACCAGCACTCAGATGTGCTTTTGTTGTCTGCCTGGGGCTGAAAATTCTAGGCTGATTTTTGTAAAGCACCTGACTGGCCAGGCTGAATTGCATGGTTGATCTGTGGTTAGAGTTTTGGAATATTTGTGGAATGGGATAGAATGTCGGGGTGAGTTTTGTACGTGCAGTGCAGAAACATCATTCAACCTTTGCAATGCAAGGTTTCTGAGTAACCTGCCATCATCTTTTCCTTTCTTTTTTCTTTTTTAGGATGAAAGAATGATGTGATGGAGATAAATATGGGCCATTGGTCAGGTCCTTTGGCCCCTGCATCTGGCCTCGTCTTCCTGCTTGTTCAGCTTTTTTCTAGTGTGTGTCATGGCCTTCATGGGACAGCACCGCTTGGCTTCCACTTTACACATTCCTTGTACAATGCCACCGTGTATGAAAACTCTGCAGCACGGACCTATCTGAACAGTCCAAGTAGAATGGGCATCATCCTGGCAGACTTCTCTTGGGATATCAAGTATAGGATAGTGTCTGGCGATGATGAAGGTTTTTTCAAAGCAGAGGAAGTTGTAATAGCTGATTTCTGTTTTCTTAGGATAAGAACTAAAGGTGGGAATTCTGCCATATTGAATCGAGAAATCCAGGACAACTATTTATTGATCATTAAAGGTTCTGTCCGTGGCGAAGACTTGGAAGCATGGGCAAAAGTGAATGTACAGGTTTTAGATATGAACGATTTACGACCTTTGTTTTCGCCCACTACCTACTCCGTTACAATAGCAGAAAGCACTCCTTTAAGGACTAGCATTGCACAAGTTACAGCAACAGATGCTGACATTGGATCTAATGGTGAATTCTATTATTACTTCAAAAACAAAGTTGACCTCTTTTCTGTCCATCCAACTAGTGGCGTTATCTCCTTAAGTGGCCGGTTAAATTATGATGAGAAAAACCGGTATGACCTTGAAGTTCTGGCTGTGGACCGTGGGATGAAACTCTATGGGAACAACGGAGTAAGCAGCACTGCCAAACTTTACATACATATTGAACGTATAAATGAACATGCCCCGACTATCAATGTGGTAACCCACGTTCCATTCGCTTTGGACAAAGAGCCTACATATGCTATTATTAATGTTGATGATCTCGATGAAGGTGCTAATGGTGAGATCGAATCACTTTCTATTGTTGCTGGAGATCCCTTGGAACAGTTCCAGTTGACTAAAGAGGGCAGATGGATGAACGAGTACAAAATCAAAGAGAGAAAGCCTATTGATTGGGAGAATTTTCCATATGGTTTCAATCTTACCCTCCAAGCAAAAGATAAGGGTTCTCCTCAAAAGTTTTCAGCTGTGAAGCTGGTCCATATTGGCAGTCCCAAGAAAGAAAGCAGCCCAGTAAAGTTCGAAAAGGACACATACGATGTAGCCATTAATGAATTTTCTCCTCCTGGAGTGGTTGTTGCTCTAGTTAAGCTAACCCCAGAAACCCATGGGGAAATATATAAATTATCTCCTAGTGAGGATGCTGGATATTTCAAGATTAACCCCAGGACAGGGCTGATTACCACAGCACGCCCTTTAAAAATCATTGACAAGGAATTTTATGATTTAGAAGTAGTGAACAAAGAAGAGGATTTAAAAGCACATGTTACTGTCAGGATAGAAGATGCCAATGATCACATTCCAGAGTTCACACAACCTTCATACAGTGCCTATGTGAATGAAAGCGTCCCTGTGGGCACTAGCATTTTATTAGTTTCTGCCTATGATAAGGACCGGGGAGAAAATGGCTATATCACGTACAGCATCGCTAGTCTAAATTCACTTCCCTTTTCCATCAACCAGTTTACTGGGGTTGTTACCACCTCTGAAGAACTGGATTTTGAGTCTTCCCCAGAGAGCTACAGGTTTATTGTTAGGGCTTCAGACTGGGGCTCTCCTTACCGCCATGAGAGTGAGGTTAATGTCACAATATACATAGGCAATGTAAATGATAACAAGCCATTGTTTGAAAAGGTGGCTTGTCAGGGAGTGATTTCATCTGACTTCCCTGTTGGTGGGCACATCACAGCTGTGTCTGCTATAGACATTGACGAGATGGAGCTTGTGAAGTACAAGATCATTTCTGGGAATGAACTGGGTTTCTTCTACCTGAACCCAGACTCAGGGGTTCTACAGCTGAAAAAGTCCCTGTCAAGTGCAGGAATCAAGAACAATAATTTTGGACTCAGGATCACGGCAACGGATGGGGAAAATTTTGCTGACTCCATGTTTGTCAATATTTCTGTGGTACATGGAAAGGTGTCTTCCAAGACTTTTAGCTGCAGAGAAACTAGGGTTGCCCAGAGACTGGCGGAGAAGTTGCTAAAGAAAGCAAAAGCCAATGTGAAACTGAATTCCGAAGATGGCTTCCTGGATTTTTATTCTGTGAACAGGCAGGCCCCACATTTCGATAAGTCATTTCCTACTGATGTCTCAGTCAGAGAAGACCTTCCAGTTGGGGCCACTATATTTCGGATCAAAGCCTATGATTCTGATTCTGGCTTTAATGGGAAGGTGCTTTACACCATAGCAGATGGCAACATAGACAGCTGCTTCAAACTTGAAATGGAGACTGGGCTGCTTAAAGTCCTTATGCCCATGGACCGTGAGAAAACAGAGTTGTATCTCCTAAATATTACCATTTATGATTTAGGCAGTCCCCAGAAAGCCAGCTGGAGGTTACTCACCATAACTGTAGAGGATGCCAATGATAATAGGCCTGTCTTTTTGCAGGAAAGTTACTCAGTTAATATCTTGGAAAGTACAGGTATTGGTGTGGAGATTATCCAGCTAGAGGCCAGAGATAGAGATCTAGGGCCAAACGGGGAAGTGACTTACTCCATATTGACAGACACACAGCAGTTCACTATCAATAGCTCCACAGGAATAATCTACACAGCTGATCATTTAGACAGAGAATCAAAGGCAAATTATACATTGAAGATAGAGGCAAGAGACAGAGCAGAGAGTGGGCACCAGCAGTTTTCTGTTGTTGCTCTGAAGGTTTTTTTGGACGATGTCAATGATTGCTCTCCAGCTTTCATACCACCTAGCTATAGTGTGAAGGTGCTGGAAGATCTCCCAGTTGGTACTGTCATTGCTTGGCTTGAAACACAAGACTTAGATCTGGGACTTGGAGGACAAGTGCGGTATTCTCTGGTGAATGATTACAACGGGAGATTTGAAATAGACAAAGCAAGTGGTGCTATCCGCCTAAGTAAAGAACTGGACTATGAGAAGCAGCAGTTCTACAACCTAACAGTGCGAGCAAAGGATAAAGGGCGTCCAGTTTCACTATCTTCAGTTTCATTTGTAGAAGTTGAAGTCGTGGATGTGAACGAAAACCTCTACACCCCTTATTTTTCTGACTTTGCAGTCATTGGATCAGTAAAAGAAAATTCACGCATTGGAACAAGTGTTTTGCAAGTGAATGCGAAGGATGATGATACCGGCAGGGATGGTGAGATCCAGTACTCCATACGAGATGGCAGTGGACTTGGACGGTTTAACATAGATGAAGAAACCGGTAAGTTGTTCTTTTTATTCTTTGCAAAGCTTCATGAAAAGATACAACTTTGGCAGTGGAAGGTGATAAGCAGTTAAAGAGAACTTTGTGTCACAGAATATTCCAGAAGGATCTGAGATGCAGTGTGTAGGGTCTTCTATGCAAAGGCTAGAAGCTTCTAAGGCAAAGTAGGAGAGTGGGATGCCTGGTGTAGTCTGTGCTGTGGAAACCTGGTGGAGTGAAGAGCCAGTGTGATACAACTAGTTCTGAATATAAACTCTTAATAGGATGGACTGGGAAGGGTACTAGAGAAGGAGTTGGTTGAAAGAGAGCACAGTGTTGAGCAGACTGGAAACACTAAAGTGGCAAACCCTTCTAGAGAAGGGTCATGGAGGACACTGCCTGGCTTTGAGACCAGAATGCTCACAAAGACCTTGAGACGAAGAGCAAAATCAGGGAAGCCTTCAAAAGAGGAAGTGTTACAAGAGTGGGTGACTTCAGTCATTTCCACATTAACCGAATGAATGCATGTTCCATAGAACAGTTGGGCATGAAACCAGAGGAGAAGGGATCCTGGATTTAATCCTAAGTGGTATAGCCCAGGACCTAATAGGAGCTATCGGTGTTGTTGAGCCAGTTTAAAAGAGCAGCAACAATGCTATCAGATTTATTATGTATTTTACTTGGAAATGGCCAAGGAAATCCAATAAATTCACATTTGATTTCAGAAGAGCAAAATGAGTCATTTGGTAAAAGGGAACCTGAAAGGTGGAGGCAAGAGGGTGAAATCACTTCAGAAAGCTTGGGGGTTACTCAAAACAACAATAATAGAACCTTAGCTAGGTTAGTAAAGGTAGCACTAAGTCCAAGAGGTTATCAGTGAGTGAATGAGCAGCGTCAAGGAAGCTATTAGATCAAGGAAGGCTTTCTTCAGACAATGAAATTCTTGTGCAAATGAGGAAAACCAAGTGTTAACATGAATAAGGGATACAATAAGAGATGCAACCCCCCCCCACACACACACACACTTTGAGAAGTATATTGCTGACAACATCATGGACAACAATGAAAAAAAAAATCTTTAAATAAGTCAGAAGTAAGAAATCAACTGGGGAGGAAGTTGGTCTTTTGGGCAAGAAAGACATTAACGCAGCATAGAAGTAGGATAAAGAGACTGTATAAAAGTGAAATGAATAGGAAACTGCTGACCTTCTAACAAAAAATAGTTCCTAAAACCAGTCTGTACCAGAGACTGGAACATGTTCATGATAACACCAATATTTAAATGGAATCCAAGGGAATCCAGTAAATTAAAGGATAGTTAGCTTAATGCTTCTTCCAGGTAAATTGGTTGAAACTTTTATTAAATATGGAATCAGCTAGCAATTGGAGAGATGAGCCCTGCTGAAAAGGCATCATCCTGACTTCTGCAAAGGTAAGTCCTGTCTCACTAGCCTTGTTGAGTCCTTCGAGAGAGCTAGTAGATATATGAACAAGACCAGTCTTGAAGATGCTGTTTACTTTGACTTTGAAGGGGCTTTTGAGAAATTTCTTCAGCAAAGGACTCTGAGCAAATTCAGCAGTTGTGAAATAAAAGCAGAAGTCCTCTTATGGATCAGTAACTGGCTAATGAACAGAAAGTGGACTACAGGAATAAAGTGCAAATTACCCAAAAGGAAAATGCAGACCAGTGCTTTTCACCTATTTTATAAAGGATCTGAAATTAGGAGTGAGCAGTGAAGTGGCAAAGTCATGTAGGGTGTTTAAAGCATAGCAGGACTGGAAGAAGGTCAAAGAGAATATCTCCAAATTGGAAGAATGGGTATTGAATTTTCAAATCTTCAATGTAAGCAAGTGTAAAATGATGCCACTTGAGGAAAAAGAAAATTTGTTTAAAGTATAAGTACCTGGGATCTGAGCTAGAGGTAACTTGACCAAGAAAGAGATCTTGGGGTTCTGATGAACAGCACCCTGAAATGGTTGACCCAGTGGGCCTGTGAAAAAGGCAGATTCCATGGTAAGCATGATTAGGAAAGCAATCAAAAATCAAATCACCAGTATCATAGTGCCTATAGATAAATCAATTATGTGGCTCTATTTGGAGCGCTTTGCACAGTTCTGGTCACAACATCTAAAAGAGATATTGTGGAGTAGGAATAAGGCAATTCTGGCCACTAATTTGTGTAGTTGTGCTAAAGTCATGCTGGCCACTAATTTGTGTAGTTGTGATCCATTCAGTGGCCAGTAGTCCTGCTGGCTATGTGCTACCGGTGGAACAGTTACTAGATAAATAAAAAATAAAAGCATGGGTCCCACGCGTGGGTCTCTCCTGGCAGCTGGTTAGTCATGGTGTGAACAGAATGCAGGCCAGAAGCACCCTTGCTCTGATGCATCAGGGCCTTCCTTCTTTTCTGAGGCCTCACATTCATGTTGGATTTCGACTGCATATTTCGAAGGGCGCTCAACCTGCGCCATGCTATGTATCTCTCCATTCTGCAGGGTGATGTATTCCTGGGCTTCCAATCGTACTGAGTAAAGCAACCTGGCACTAATGGGGGGGCTCTTTTGCTGAGCAGATAGAAATGACCTTTTGCTGAGCAGATATTCCTATCTATCTGGTCCAAGTGTCTAGTTTCTCCACCTAAAAGGCAGGTATAATGCATGCACAGCAGCTACTTCCCTTGCTGGATCAGGGCTTTAAAATTTAAATGGTCGACATTAAAGTTTAGGTGTTGGGTGTATTTCTTTCAGTTTGTCTTTAAAGACTTCTGCATAAGTGAATTGTGTCTGTATATAATTTACCGGTAGCAGTGAGAAAGCATTAGTCCTACTGGAGTCGTGGAACCAAACGCTTCACTTAGTGGTGTCTCTCCTCTCAATGAAATGCAAATGTTTGCCTCTCTGTGACTCCATTACTGCCTCTGTATTATGCGGTGATAACCATAAATTATGCAGGTCAGAGTGGTAGCTAGTCGGTGCACTCCTGACCCCATCAAAATCATGAAGACCAATAAAGCAAAATTAGGCGTTCAAAACTATTGGATACAGATACCTTTGTGTGTGTGCTTTGTCAGGGATGTGTCCTTTGATGGAGCTTTTTTCGAAACAGAATAATAGAAACGTAGCAATTCAGAATCCTCATTAATTACCGTAGAGACAAACTTCATATAGCTCAATGTTTAAACTTCATGCTTATATTGGTTTTTTCTGGTTTTTCTCTTTTTATGAAAAAGGCATTCAATTTACTCATTTTCCAGAGATGATTAAAGGTCTGATGCTTTTCGGTGCTTTGAATTGCCCCTCAGTGCCATGATGGAACATTATCAAAATCGAGAAAGGGCCGGGTGGATGGCTATGGTTATAGGATAAAATCTCTGCTCAACAAGCTGCTGGTTTAAGTGCTTAATAGCTGCTGGCATTAATAGGGCAGCTGTGACATTACATTAAGGGAGGAAATTAGAAAGCATTACTTTGCATTTTTAAGAAATGTCATTAAGAGCTGCCTTTCCATTAAGCTTTGCCCTGAGATGATAAATGAATGGAGGTTCTGAACTTACCAACTCTTCTACTTCACTGCTTCATCTTACGTCAGGTAAGTGAAGGAATGTGTTTAAAAGGAAGCATTCTAAGCCTGAAGCTTCAGGATTGGGACTCACCGGGGAAATCATTTTTGCAGCCCTCTGGAAAGATCACAAGTCGCATCTGGTGTTATAACGGGTTCTTCCTATGTTTGCTGCTCCAGCAATCAGTGTGGTATTTCTTGGCATTTCTAGCATGCATTTCTAGCATACAGGTTCTTGTAAATCATCTTTTCTGGTACCAGTTGAAAGTGCAGAAGGGTGGAATGGGTTGCTTTAATGCCCTACATTGTTGGAAGGAAGGTGAGCATTCTGCTGGCTAGAACTATTAAGCATTATTCTTGTTTTCTGTGTCCAACTATAGGAAAAATTGAACCTCTTCTGTTTCTTGTGCATATGTAAATTGGCTGTTAAATGCCCTTTTGCCAGTATGGTTCCTGCTTTGCTTTGCTTTTTATTATATTCATTAAGTTCTACAAAATAGAATTTTTATTTGTGGGGCTCTGAAGAGTTACCCTCCTGCTCCATTTTCATTTCAGTTTCAAAGTGCTTTGGAACTCAGACGCTTCTGCCCTTCCCTTGGGCAAATTATATTTCTTCTATTATTACCTGTTTGTCTGCTGAAAAATGTATGGTTCTGGACAATCCATGCCTATTTGGGCAGCCCATTGATTGGACCAAGGGCCCTCTGAGTGGATTTAGAGGCATTTTGGGATGGACATGCTCCCCTCCTGCCCTTATCCCCCATTTTGTGAATGCTCCCATGATGTTCTTTCAACATTTCTGATTTAGCTTCTGACCCCAAAGGGTCAGGAATCTAGTGTGGAATAGACTTCAGAAGGTAGCCCTGTTCAGACAACATGCCTGAATGCAGTCGATTAACCTGTGTAAGGGACATGAGGCCACATCACTGGCCTTACCTACAGTGCTCCTCTTCTCACTTCATTGGACACCTTCCCTGAGTTGAGCAGTGAGTTCTGAAAGAGGTTTCTGTTTGCCTTCTTTTGAACTGAAACTGCACAGAAGTCATCTTGAACAAATGTGCTTCCAATCTTCCTGAAACTGCTGCTCCCCGGGGGTGTTTCCCTACAGCTCCCAAGCCACCAAGTCCAATGGTCCACAGGGATGAAAATTCATGTCAAAATGTCTTCAGGGAACCAGGATGAGTAAGGCTGGTCAAACTGAAGATCATGAAGTCACTGCCTGCCTTCATTCTTGGAAAGCAGCTGGCACATTAAGTATCCTGACTATAACCAGGAGATTTCCTTGCACAGTCCCAAAAGTCCAGAATGTTCCATGCTAAAGAAAGTTTTAAAAGCAGAGGGTGCTAACATAGCAGTTCTCAATACGTGCATCATAGCGGGACCCCCGTTTAGTGGGTCACCTGCTGTGCATGCAGCTCTGCGGCTAATCTGGACCAAATAACAGTATTTAAGTATAGCT